GGGATCTATATTCATATACAAACTCACTTCAGTATATTGGTCTTAAGAAATAATGTATCCAATGACTACCAGAGGAGAGAAAGTTTCCTATATTAGTCCATTCCAGATGCTATGAGAAAATATCATAGATAGTGTGGCTTACAAACCATGAAATTTATGTCTTATAGTTTTCAAGGCTGCAAGTTAAAGGTTAAGGCACTATCAGATTCAGTGTCTGGTGAGCGCCCTCTTCACAAGTGGTGCCTTTTCATTTTGCCCTCACATGGTAGAAGATTCCTAGGCCTTTTTTGTTTGTTTGTTTTGTTTTGTTTTTCGAGACAGAGTTTTGCTCTTGTTGCCTAGGCTGGAGTGCAATGGCACGTGCGATCCCGGCTCACTGAAAACTCTGCCTCCCAGGTTCAAGAGATTCTTCTGCCTCAGCCTCTCGAGTAGCTGAGATTACAGGCACATGCCACCATGCCCAGCTAATTTTGTATTTTTGGTAGAGATGGGGTTTCACCAGGTTGGTCAGGCTGGTCTTGAACTCCTGACCTCAGGTGATCCACCCACCTAGGCCTCCCAAAGTGCTGGGATCACAGGCGTGAGCCACAGCACTCAGCCCCTAGGTCTCTTTTATTGGAGCACTGATTCCATTCATGAGGGCTCCACTCTCATGACTAATCACTTCCCAAAGACCCCACTGCTAATATCATCACCTTTGGAATTAATGTTTCACCATATAAATTTTGGGTGGACACAAATATCCAGACCACAGCACTTCCCAAAGGGTATAAATACAGAAGCATCAAGATTCTATTACCTCCCAAATAGTGTTCCTTCCTGCTCAAAGATTCCTGAAACTCATTGACAAAGGCACATAGACTTTGTTTCAGCACTTTCATGAAAATGCAAATGGCACTGGCAAAGGTGCCATGACATAAATTCACATAGAGGCATAAATGATGGACAGCTAAGAAGTTCTTTAAAGTAGATTTCAACAGCATGATAGACAAGTTTATCTTTATGGCCCTTATATCTGAAGAGGAATACAGTAACATAAAGAGTAATAAACAAGGCCAGGTGCGGTGGCTCACGCCTGTAATCCCATCACTTTGGGAGGCCAAGGAGGGCAGATCACGAGGTCAGGAGATAGAGACCATCCTGGCTAACATGGTGAAACCCTGTCTCTACTAAAAATACAAAAAATTAGCCGGGCGTGGTGGCACGTGCCTATAGTCCCAGCTACTCGGGAGGCTGAGGCAGGAGAATCTCTTGAACTCGGGAGGTGGAGGTTGCAGTGAGCCGAGATCACACCACTGCCTTGCAACCTGGGTGACAGAGTGAGACTCCATTTCAAAAAATAATAATAATAATAATAATAAATAAAATATAAACAGTTTTTGAAATAAGGCAAGACTAGAATCAGTGAATAAAAACTGGACTTTGTCAGGTAAAATCACAGAGTATTGGAAACACAGGTAAACAAAGAATTGATATAAACAGATAACTGACTAAATTAAACAACCACCTAATGACTATTAGAACAAATAAGAAAATATATAAAGCTGATTCTTGATATTCATACTAGTTACATTATATTCAGTTGCTCAGAATACTGAACTAGCAAGTACTGATTCATTGCTCCCAGGGTTAGAGTTCCTGTGAGATTCTAGTCACAACATTTTGTTTTTGTGTGTTTCTGTTTAAAGACGCATTAATACAGGTTGCCCATTTATTAATACTGAACTTTCAACCAACAGCACTATATATACACCATACATGTCTGAACGAAGATAATCTGACACACATATTTTCTCAGTAAGGCACATGACAGCTGGCAATGGGCACATTAGGTGACTCAAAATTTGCTGCTGTGTACACATCTGTGAATGACCCAGAAGGCACTGCAAATATTAATTTTAGGCTTCCAAACTTTTAGTAAATAGGCAAATTTGCAAATAAAATCAGGATCAAATGTACCTGGGTTTTAATGCTTTTTAGTACTCGCCTGTGTGATACTAGGTTAACGGCATAAACTGAGTTTCCTTACCTAGAAGATTTAGATGTTTATTAGGTACCTTTAATCCTGTTACTTGTGAATTTCTTGAAACTCAGCACCTCTAGTCTAAATTCAGTCTAACTTCAGCATACCAGGTACTCCACAATCCAAATATTTCTTATCTATCCAGGCTTGTTTCCCTCTGCATGGAAACTTACAAGCCTTTAATAAAGGAAGGATATATTCATTTCCATCCGCCAACTGTCACACACTCAAACATTGATTTACGTATAATCTATCCATCCATTTATCTCGTCTATTATCAAACATTATCTCACAAACAATGTTGCTGGAGATAAAATGATCAGAGACACAGGTAAGAACCCAACCCGGTGGTGGACATAATCTAGTGAGAGAGACAGATAATAAACATGTACATAAAGAGATCTGTAGCATACATTCCAGTAGCTGGAAGTGCAATTAACTAAAAATAAAACAGAGTGATGATTTAGAGATAATTATAGGTAAGACAATATTTTAAGTAGTGTTATCAGCCAAGAACTTTTTAAGAAGGCAGCAATTAAGCAGAGATCCAAATAAAGCAACAGGAGAGTAAAAGCAAAGACCTGGGGCAGAGGAACATCAGTGGTAAACGCTGTGATATGGGAGTGAGGTTGGTGTTTCTGAGAAAGAGAAAGAGGGTGAGACGAGCTGACACAGAGGAAGTGAGGAGGTGCCAAAGACCAAATCACAAGTGACGTGGCCCATGATAATCAAGTCTAGATGTTATTTTAGATGTGATGGAAACCCCCTGTAAGTAGAACAGTGTCATAATCTAACATACATTGTAAAAGCATCACTCTGGTTGTGAGGTGACGAACGGGATATGCAGAGCAAGAGTAGAGACCCGAGGTTCTCTCTGTGAATTCCAAGCAAAGAGGGGACGGTGAGAACAGTGGTGGTGTAAAGTCATCGTGTATGGGTATAGTTTAGAGACAAAGCAACTGAAATATGCTGATAGGTTGGCTGCAGGGCTTAAGAGAAAAGGTAGAATTAAGGATGTTCCTTGGATAAGTGGTGACAAAAAGTACTGAAATAGTACTGAAATAAATAGAAGAAGAGCAGGCTTAGTGAGTGAGACAAAATAAGCAAGGGTTCAGTTTTGGTCATTTAAAGACAAGAGATCTACCAGATATCAAAATATGTCTAACATATAAATGAGGAGGCAGAAACATATAGAAATAAAGTAATATGAAGATAGGACAGGAAACTAGAGACAATAAATAAAATGTACTCTCAGCCATCCTATGACATGATTTTTCCCAGGTCATGAAGTATAGTCATCACTGATTCATCCACTCAGTAAGCAAGTATTTATTAAGTGACTATTGTGTGTCAGGCATAATTATAAGTGTCTGAGGTGCAAATCTTTTTCATTTTTCCTTATGCTATCTTATTTTGAAGACTATCACTGTTATTGCATGATAAATAAAAATAAAGTACAAATCAACTAAGGTAGCAATTTCATGCATCAGTTTCAGGTTGATGGAATGAATGCATTTTCTGGCATCATGTCTATAGTAGAATTCCAGAAAAAAACTGAATTACATGTTAAAGACAGTTAATCTCTTTATTCTTGAAATATCGCAAAACACAGCAAATACAGGCATTGCTTAGATAATTTTTATCAGTTTTTTTTTTGGTCTAAATCGTGGGTGAAATTTTTCTACTCAATTTTAGTTCACTGTCAACCATAAACTGGTCTATTTGAACAGTATTTGCAAATCTATTAGTCCATTAAAATAACAAAGTTCAACTGTCAATCAAATAATGGCAGAATCAAAGTTTCCAAAAGTACAAAAATAAATAAATAAATAAAGTGGTCAGGAGCATAAAATACAACATGATGATTAAGTAGAAAGTATATATTTTTTGGTAACAAAAGGAAATACATCTGGGTGGTACATGCAAGGGGACAGAGACAAGTACTGAAGAAACAGAATGCACAGGCTTGCAGATGAGGATGAGAGATTCTCTGGTTTACTGGCAATGCCTGGATTCTCCTGGTGCTCCTGCTGCAGGTGCAGACACACAACCATGACCATGATCACTGCCCTCAGTAGGTAGTGTTCACAGTGCTCATTACTACCCAATGGGTAGTAGCGCTCACTACTGCCTTCTGATCACCTAGTGAATGAATCTTCCAATCAGTAAAGTCTCCATCTCCAATCATGCATCTAAATTTCTAACCCTGGCTGGGACCTACCACCAGGACCTCATTGTTCCTCTCCACTTCAGCTTGAACTCTCCATTTCTAGACCAACTCTTTCATTTAAACATCCTCTGGAGTTCCTGAGAAATTCCCCTATTTCCTGACTTTAAATCTTTAACTCCGTCCCTTTCATCCCGCAAAAATGACCCATGGACCAGTGTGTTAGTTCTGGATCCGGACTTTGATCCAAAATTTCTGATTGGACTTTGATTTCTCTGGCCCTTCCTCGAATAACACAACAATGCTGCTGATCTCCCTGACGAATATTTTAAGGAGGTTGAAAGCTTATAAGAACACTTAAAATCCCTATTTTTGATATAACAATTATCTGTGTAATGGTAAAAAAAAAAAAAAAAGGTGAAAAATGTTTGTTCCTCTTACAGGAAGACTGTCTACCTTTTAACCTCTTAGTTTAGAAGAGAAATAAAACTTCTATTACTTAATGGACCCTCTTGTGAAATCAGCCTGTGCATTTGTCAAAAGAAACTATTGTCAGTACTTCAAACATTCTAATTCAAATAGCACAGATAATGTAAACTCACTTTAATCTCTTGAAAATGTCTCGTGAATGAGGAAAGAAGAAAAAAAAAACTCTTAGGCTCTTGATGTTGCATTTTATGAGCGATCCTTTGCTTCTTTGCTGATTAAATGGCTGACTCTCTGTTTCTTTGCAGATTAATGAGGATTCTCTTCAATGCCATTGTCATTTATGGAGAATATGTGCCAGGAAGATAGCCTAAAAGACTTTACCTCAAAGGACTGAAAGGTCAGCCCGACGTGGTAGCCCTCAGACACTTTATTTTCCACACACATTCTTTCATCGGCGATAGTCATCAGGATAATTAGGAGACTGAATCTGTCCTTCATTTTACGTATCTCACCTCCACAGATCGCTGAAGGAAAGCCAAAAAACAAACAAATAACTAAGCCTAGAATGCCATTTCGTTTTCATTTTGTTCTAGGTTAATATTGAAGTTCAGCTCCTGTAGTTCAGTACATAAAGACCAGGCTATAAAAATCAAAGTTGACTGATTGTAATGTAGTAATATTTATATGGTAAAAAAAAAAAAAAAAAAAACCTAGTCAAATAACTACAAATATTAGATAATGGTCAAGGAATAAATAAATTTTAATCCTATCTTAACCAAAAGGTATTTTTAACCTTTAAAAACCTTTAGTGGCTTTGTGAATTTATTCTCTGTGAGTTTGTTCTGTGATTCTCTGAGCTGCTCCCTTGGTCTTTCGACTGCAGGTACAAGAGCTCATCAAAACAGGAGTCTCATCCTGAACGGAACTCACTGGGTCTCTGCAGTGAGTTAGTGTCATGCGCGTAGCGTCTGTGACTCCCTCCAATAATCCTCTTCACTACTAGGCAGTTAATCCTTAAAACAAAATGCTTCCATTTACTTAAAAGTTTAAGGGAAGCAGAAATCTTCTGTCTTCAAAATTACATAAATGCTGTACTAGGAAGTGTCTCCTCCACCACAACCTGGCGAGAAAGCAGCTTGGTTTTAAAGCCAAGAAAGCACAATGCCAGTTTATTGTTTTAGAGAAGGATAAAACAAAGCATTTTCTAAGTCCTTCCTCAAATGCTGACTTCTTATTGAGATAAAGCATGCCCCAGAAATCGCCACAATTACTTTCTGTGCAATTTCCTCTAATAAAAAGTATTTCAGGAATACAGGGACCAAACAGACACAAAATCCAGTACAAAGGAAAATGATATGTCTTCATAATGTTTTAAAACTATCAAGAAACAATGAAACTTTAAGAAGGCTTGTGCCATTTGCTTTTTTCTCCACACATCCTGAACACATTTAGATATTGTTACATCACTGATACTAGAAAACAGGTTATTCTTGCAATTAAATTTACTGAGTATTTTTATTAAAATTATCTGTATGAATATAACACAGATTCAGAAAAATTCATAATTTTAAAATATGGTAATAATGTCATTGTAACGAAATTAAGAAATGAACATTTCTGTTGAGGTATAAGATGAACTACTCTCTAAAATTCAATGTGACTTGCCTTCATAGACAGCTGCAAAGCCTTTTCCTACCCAATTACTGCTGCTACGAAACTCAATCCACATTCTGCTGTCTGTAGAAGTAAGAACTTCAGGTACTTTGTCCCCACAGAATCTACCTAAAAGAAAAAAAAGAATAAAGAGAAACTCCTAAATAGGACTCTATATTCTACGTTCTTTTCGTACTAGCCACAAATAATATGTAAACACTGATTTGGTTCACATTTCCATTCCAAGTGATTGCAGCCACAACTATGCCTTAATATTTACTTACTAATGGTAGATAAACAAAACAGTCTTTTCATATACATTTATAAAGCATTTGACTATCAGCCTCAGAGTAACTGACTGATGTCAGTATTGTTACCATATGTAGAAGTAAGATAGTTACTCAAAAACAATATTTGAAAAAGGTCAAATGATGCATTAAGGTGGGGTATATTATTTAACGGGAAATAGAAAAAAGGTTCAAGTCACCCTAAGAAAATGGTTTCAAATTGTCAACCTGGCCAATAGCAGGGAAATGACTTGGTTAAGAATGTGCTCTCAGTCAGGCACAGTGGCTCATGCCTGTAATCCCAGCACTTTGGGAGGCTGAGGTAGGTAGATCACGAAGTCAAGAGCTCAAGACCATCCTAGACAATATGGTGAAACCTCGTCTCTATTAAAAATACAAAAATTAGCTGGTCATGGTGGTG